GTTTAGAAAGGTGCCCTAACTCAAGGTTCACTTTTTAGGTGCCATAAATTGATTAACTTTACTACCATAATATTCAATACATTCACTGATCTTGAGTCTATACATCTTTCACCTCATTAGAAGGCAGTGCCTGTATGCAAAATGAGGAAAAGAAACAAGCAATGCAACAGTGCTGGAAACACAAAGGTAATCTAAACACAGAAATGAAAGCCTAAAACCAGTTGGAATAGGAAGGAGGAAGCATTACGTGTGGCCTTTTGGACCCAGCATGTGTAGGCTCAGAGTAAGCTGTCACATAATCTTGTGTATGCAAAGGATTCCTATAAGGAAATTGTCCCTCCCTTGCAAAGTCAGGACCTTGCTCCTGCAAAGTTGAGAAGATACTTCAAGTTCATATCAAATGTAAAAACATGGAGAACTATAGTTTCAACCATGATAATAGTAAGCTAAAGGTGAGCCATAACCCAAACAACCAATTTAACACTCAACTTCAGTTACTACACCTAGCAAAGATTAATATTAATAAGATATTCTTTTTCCACAGGATCTAAATAACTTAATAACTCATACAAAATGCTTTAAAGATCTAACATTCTATTGGGGAAGAAGAATAATTAGCCAGCACCAGATCAATGGATTACACCAACACTTAAAACACATAATCCACAAAGTACTAAAGTAGACCCAGGAAGAATATTTTAAGACCATAATTGAGCCTTTTTCTCATAAAGTATAACTAACCCTTCTTGCAGGATGTGACCTGAGATAATCCACACGAATCTGGTCTCCACTGATCAGCTTCCCATTCATAGTTTTAAGTGCTTCTGTTGCATCTTCCAAACGAGCATAGTCAATATAAGCTGTGCTCCGATCCTTTATGAATTTGAATTCTAGGATTTTGCCAAATTTCTTAAAATGTTCCTCTAATTCTTCTTTAGAAACAGACTGGCCTATCCCAGCCACCCACAGACTTTTGCACGGCTTAGCCTACCAAAGAGAATAAAAATTTAAAATAGATTATATAGCTGAGGTATAGCAAGTTACAACCAATGTATAAAAATCAAGGGATGGATGTCATCCACCACACCAATGAATATAAAACACTTGCAGAATGAATGAATACTTCAATAAAGAAAAGAAGCACATATGAGAGGCACTACCTACTTGATCATCCAATCAGATCATTTATAATGAGCAAATTTGTTCCAGATTTTCATTATAACAAATTTTCAACAGAGTTATTGAAGATAATGGTATTGACCACACAATTAATGCAGCATCAATCACATTTTCTTTTAGTTACACCAACATATTCTTCTTAGCAAGGCACCACACCGTTAACTAAGCTAAAGTCCCCACTCCCCAGTCATACAAACTCAAGCAGAAACTCAGAAAGAGACAGCTGAAGGGCATGACCATGTTTAAGGGAATTCCTTAATTTATTTTAAGGCATTCAGTCCAAGACTCCAAGATGAAAAACACAGTTGTTAAGCAATGAATCAATGAAACATTAAGACCGCACAGGATTTTCAGAACAGAGGCGTCGTGTTGGGATGGAAATAATGGAATCATCATATTCACAGGATAGAAATTATGAACAAAACCATATCAGGGGATGTGGAGGCAGAGGTTACTTGGAAGATAACCTTTTGTCTCAGTGCAAATATAACTTTTATTCTTATTATTCTTCTATGATTTTACTACACAGCACATAAATTTGGCACATAATAATCATAAGGTGTCTCCTCTACGGGAGATAATCTTGATATTCTCCAGGGTAGATAGAGCTTGAAGATGGCAACATTATGCACAGATTGAACTTTAAATCCCTCACTCCCATGCTTATGCTTATAATTCAAAAAGCTGAATATAAGATTTGAGTATGACCGACATTCTTTGTAAAAGGTTGATCAATTGGGGAACTGGAAAGTGAAACGGGCATTGGTTCCTTTCAGCTAGGATCTTCTCCATAAGTTGAATTTGATAGTCAATTCTATTTTATTATAATTTTATTGGCAGATTGAATCAATGGCTTATCCATGATTGGCTCTTTAACATGTAATTGGGAAACCCTAAACAGCTAAAACAGTAAAATTTCTTACTTCCAAAAAGGGATGGCTGATTATTCTGATCATAATTGGTTAAACTTGGTTTCTTAAGAAATGAACTTCACCAGAGAGTGAATTTGATTGTTAAAATTTTCTTCCATGGGCTCACTGCCAATTTCTTCCTCAGAAGGAGATTTATCATCATCAGCAGAAAAGATGATCTGCTGAGCATGAAATTGGAAACCTAAGCTGCTAAAGTAGCATTTCTTATTTTCAAACACACATGAAGGACAGATTGGTGAGTAATATTAATATGTTGCAGTTTTTACATTCTAAAAACTTTGGGACTCCAAAACTAAAATTTGCCCAAGGATATTTGAATTTGATAGAAATAAGATCAAACCCTAGTTTTTGTGTGAAATTTGATTGATTGATGCACCTTTGAGTTATCACGCATTGCAGGGGGGCAAACTTGAAGAATTCCCTTTCTGGTAGACTTAATCAGTTATACACTTGGAATTTTCAATAATTTCAACGAGATTTTGTTTTTGTTTGCATAGGCTATAGTTTAACATTAGACTTCTCGTGTTTGTTATCTACACGCTTCACCAATAAAGTTTGGAGAACGACTGAAAAACGGGGATTCGCAACGGAAACGGATGACAGACGAGAATAAAGCAAACATGAAGTGTTAAAACAAATAAAATTTGGTTACAGATCCAGAAAATCAAATCCATTATCAAAAAGTGAAAACAATAGAGCCAAATCATCATCATCATCATCATCAAACAATGTCGAGACACGAAAATACAAACCGGTTTCGCGAATTCAATCTTAAGAGGATTCCCGCGAAGCACGGTTCCCTGGAGCGCGTCCTTGGCGGCCTTGGCATCTTCTAGGCTTCTGAAGTAGAGGAAGGCGTAGCTGCGGGCGGAGTAGGAGGTTATGCTGTCGACCTGGCCATACTTCTCGAACAGAGCGGTAAGCTCGGCTTCGGTGACATCGGGGGTCAGATTACCAACCCACAGGTTATTCGTCGCCGTATCGGACTCCGGTTTCGCCGAGGATCTGAACGGCGGCACCATGGTAGAAACCCTAGACTGCATAAACGGTTGCTCCGTATTTGGTTGCACCAAAAAAAAATTAAAGAAATGGAACGGAGAATGCGAGAGGTGGAGATAAACAACAAATCTGTGGGCGTCTGTCGTCTACAAGTTATTATACGTATAAGATGGAGAGAGGGAGTGCGGCGACGTCGGAGTGTTTGCGAGAAACGGATGAGAGAGGGAATCAAAAACCGGGAGAACGCCTCGCTAAGGAACGTAAATCCCAAACAGAATTTGAAACAATTCCGGGTTGGGTTCTAGATAAATAACCTTTTTTTTTTTTTTTCAATTACCCCTCTATTTCTTTTCCTTCTGTAATCTGTATTACGGAGTATCTATCTTTACTACTACGTATTAAAAACGAATTTTTCTATATATATTTTTTTCTTCCTGTATTACGGAGTATTTATTTACTACGGAGTATGTATTAAAAAACGAGTTTTTCTTTGAAAATTGAAATCATCATCACTCGTATACTTAACCATTTTTTTAGTTATCTGCATCAATTTTATTTTTTATTTTTTTACTAAACCTAACAAGGTCACTTAAAAAAAAAAAAAAAAAAAAAACTAACAAAGTCAAATTTTACGATCCTTGTTTTATTCATGGGTAAATTTTACTGTAAATCATGATTCATAAGCAATACGATGTCATTTAATTTCACAAAAAAAAAAAAAATCGTGATCATTAATTATAGTAGACAGCAAATTATAATAAAGCATATGCAATAATCTCTCTTATTTTCATTGCGATCTTCTAATCCACTTCTCTCATATTTGTTTTTCTTCTCCACCTCTCTCATATTCGTTTTGTCAAATATATTCTTGAAGTTTTATTTTTGAGAATGTTCTTGAAGTTTTATTGACCATGGATGAATCGATAAATATAAACAACTTTTCATTCAATTTCATTTAACAACTGAAGTATCATTATAATTCAAGTACAATTTAATTTGATAACATATATTTAATATGTGATATATATTATTCAGTTTCATTTTATATTTCATTACAATACAACTAAAGTATCATTATAATTGAATTACAGTTTCATTTAACAATATGCACTCAATATGTGAGACATGTTATACAGTTCAATTTTATACACATTGTAATGTTCAATTACAATATCATTCAAGTATCATTATAATTCATCTGACAATATTCACTCACTACGCTTGTAGACATAAAATGTAATGACCAAAATAAAAGAAATAACGATGACTCACTGAATAACGATTGTTATTTATAGCCATAGGCAAGGCCACATTGGGAACGGATTTGAACATATAGGCCCTGTTTGGTAAAAAATTGGCTTATAGGCCAATTTTGACTTATTTGACCACTATTAATTGTTTGATTTAGTTAAAATATCAATATAAATGTTTGGTTAATTAGCTTTTTGCAACTCCAAAAGGCTAAAATTAAAATAGCTACTCCTAGCAACTTTTTCAATTAGTTTTTTAAGAAAAGAAATTATACCAAAATGCTATCAGCTAACAGCTAATTTACCAAACACTTTTATACAATCAGCTAATGTTATCAACTATTTATACCCTCTAATTAACACAATCAGCTAACATCAAACAGCTATCAGCTAATAGCCAACTAATTTACCAAACACTTTTATACAATCAGCTAATGTTATCAACTATTTATACCCTCTAATTAACACAATCAGCTAACATCAAACAGCTATCAGCTAACAGCTATTTTACCAAACAGGGCCATAAATTTTGCAATAATATAGGCACCATAATAACTCAAATTATTAACGTATTGTTTATAGAACTCATTTAACTAAAATTTATATTATTATATACTCACATCCACATATTAAAGATTGATTATGGAATGATGAATTGTAATTTTGTATTACGAATCGAAAAAACCAAAATATATCTGCTACGCAAATACAGTACACTAGTAGGAAAGGGACAAGTAACCACTCCCTCTCTTTCTCTCCAATTTCTTGCCTTGTACAAGTACTAACCAAATCTAGAATATCAGTTATATACAGTCAGGAAACAGACCCACTTTAACTTGTGGCTGGCAGTAGAACAGTTTGAGAGGGAGGACTAATGCTACTTCTCTTGCTGATTATTTAGTCTAAATCCTTTCTCTTCAGAGACATTTCAAAGTTGGAGAGGATCGAGGCCAAGGGCATGGGCGAGTTCCTTGACAAAAATGAAAGGCCACTCATTCCACAGCTGAATAAAACCTTGCCCACCCCATCAACTTCCTCCTCGTATTGCTCATAAATGAATAAAATTGAGAACACCAGGACTATGGCTGCATTTATACATGGGTTCAGTAATTCAGGAATAGAATAGAATGTCTTCATTAAACAAGGCAGTATTTAAACAGCTCATACCTACGCCAAGGATAGCAGTCAATGAAACTGAAACAATCAGCTTCAAACAGTACAGAAGCCCGGACACCTTCAGAAATAAACGATGTTACTAGAGTACAACCAAATCAGCGTAATAAAAAATTGCACAAACATTTTTTTTCAATTTTATTACTATCTACATTTTTCTCTCTCAGCTTCCCATATCATTCTTATTATCTCAGAAATAAGACAAAAGAAGATATTTTTAATTTATTATACCACATCTCCACTACAACTTCAAACTACAATATCCAAGGACTAGGATCAAAACTCAAAAGCGCTTTCTGGTTTTCTCTTTTTCTTCATATGAGACCATGAGTACACTATATGATACATTTCTAAACCCAAGACATTCAGAAACCCTGAAAGGTGTCTTAATTAATTAAATATATATTAGAACGGAATCCAACAAAAATAAAACCAGTTACCATAGGACCTAGAAATTGAATCACCTAAATCACCCAAGCAATACCTTTCTCCCACTTTATTTACTCCTCATTGGCACATTCCATACAATTATCCCCATCCAAAAGTAAAGTGAGTCCATAATCCCTTCCGTAGACACACACAGTAATAGGTTTCTCTGAGATACTGCTACTAGGGTAACTTTCTATGTCACACAAATGCAATTAACAGTAGATGCCATCTAAAACACTTTAGTAGAACTATAAGATTAGTTAAAGAGTGATATGAATGGGACATTGGGACCAAGGTGTAACTATGAGAACTTTCCATCCTCCCAACAACAAATAAAAACAAGAGGAAAGAAAGATGAAACACTTCAAGAATATTTAACCTGAATTACTTGGTCAGTAATAACTATGTATAACAAGTTTCATTTGGAAGCATACCTTCAGAAACATACACCAGTCTTCTCCTTGGGCCAGCAACCTTGTTCCGTGATTCATTCTATTCCACATATTGCCTATTGTTGAGACACAGATTCTCATATCCACTTCCGAAATCTCAAAACAAGACCACGATATTCTTGGAACAGTGATCCCATATCTGCAAAGATGTCATTATTTCATGAATAAAGAAGTGCTACACAGATATGCCTCAACAAGTAAACGGATAAGATGCAAGCATCAAGTGCCAGTTCCCTACAAAATACTACTTCAGTATTGTCAAGGAAAGATAGTCAAATGACTAACTTTAGATCTCACATGTGTTGACACAATTCTGCACGGTTGCTTGTGGGAGAGACAGAAATATAGACCTATCTACACCATTCAAAAGATAATAATTTTGCTAGAACACATGGATGACCATACAACATGAGTACTATAACCACAGAAGTCTTACATAGAGAATATAGACGACAAAGTTCTGATGTGGGTGACACTATTAACTAGAAAGATGGAATGAAAACATAGGGAATGACCCCTTTAATGTGTGACAAATGCAGAAAGAGAAGTTCTTCAAAGGTTCAATTATCCCTCAAAAAAGTATTTGCACCCATTTTGTAGTCCTTTTTTCTTTTGAGGTAGTAGGGGAGTACTTGCAGAAGTTGGACTAAGGGGAACACATCCTGCATCTATTAATTCTTTTGCAAGGATCGTATTTACCAAGTCTCCAATATATACTCCTTTGCCAGTATTTAGTTTATGCACAATGCAGCTGCTATAAGATTTTATTCATTTCCTTTATCTAAGTTGGGAGAATTAAAGGATGGAGCAAGAATTTAAAAGTGGTGAGCTACATAGTAGAAGGGGACAATACGAGAAGTTCTTTTTAAGTTATAGAGTTCAGAGAAATAAGGAATCATGGTTCCCCTTGGTGTCAAGGTGGCTTCATCCCAATTAGAAACTAGTATGCACAAATATTATATCAAAGTCTGGGCACAAAGAAACTTTCATGGCCATACTTACACGACTGGTGGCAGAACGCTGTATGCACAAAGCATCGTAGCAATTAGCAGCAAAAGAATGGCAAGAGATGAAACAAAAGTTCTTCCAGACAGGAAAAACCAGTAATATATCAAAAACCATAGCAGAAAATGAGTGAATGTTATCTTCTCATCTCTCCAAAGCAAAACGTCTGCAACTGTAGAAATGTAACATACAGTTATTCTCAGGTTAATTGGAAAAATATATTACAATTATTCTCAGGTAAAACAGAGAATGATGCCACAGAACCTTATTCTTTAAGAATTCCTCCAAATTTGTAAGCAGGAACATGTACAAATTCATGACTTATAGGAATTTCATTCAAATAGATAAAAGGTTCATAAATTGCAGTACCAACCTTTTCCACCGCCTAACCGCTTATGCACTTTTGATTCTTCATCATAATCAGAATACCTTGAATAAAACGAGTCCTTCACTAAATGAGGGGATGACCTCACAGTTGTTGTAATTGCTTCCTGTATTACAAATTGATAGCAAATAAGTTGTTGGGTCATGATTTTATAAAGTACATAAGTGCTAAAGTCAGATTAAACATCCTCAAATCCAATTGCAAGGTGAAACTAGTTTCAGATTGCACTACACTCAATAGCACATGGATCTACAACTCTCCAAGAAAGAGAAGAAACACATCTAACTTAGTATTAGCGATACTCAAGAAAACTACTTGTTTTGAACTATCAATTCAGGTACTTGTGTAGTTGTGTACCCAATCAGAATATAAAAATGATAGATAAACAGCAAATTCAAAACCTAGGAGCACCTTTCTTTCATCTGTTTCAACACAAGAAGTCAGTCTGTACTTAAGAAATTCTAATAGTATAGGAGTTAAAGATAATCTCTCGGCAGTTAGGATAAGGATGCTGGTAACCCTGATATTCAAGCACAAAGATTAAAAATATACTTGATGATCAAAGAATGATGCAGAACCTTGAATTGTATAGAGATGAGGAACTTTATATGATCTACGCATAAAAGTCCCTAGGGACTAAAAGTAATATCATGATTAGTCTTGTCATGTTTATAAAATTTTAAAAATGCTTAAAGCAATACCTAATCAGCTGAGATGTATTACACAACAAATATGTAGTTACTCCAGAAATTTAAATGTCAATAAAATGAAATAGAAGAAATGGAATAAGAACAAGACAAGAGGTGTGATAACATAGTTTCAAACTTACTTCCATTGGAACAATTCGAGAATATCTTAAATACTTCTGTGACGCAGAGCAGTTAAATGTCCTACTGCACAATGCCAAGTCAAAAAAATTATAAACTGTCGCATAGTCATCAAGCTTCCCACTGTTTATCTTTAAATGGATGCTCTTCACATGAGAAAGAATGCATTTCATCATAATAGAAGGAAGCCTTAACATTGGCCTGCAATTAGAAATAGAGAAAATGCAGTTTCAGGAACCAATGCAGTGGAAATCATATTTAATATAAAACAGAAAGAACAGAGATATTCAGATATTACATTTCGGGGAATAAAAAGGGCACGTTTGCCATGTTTTCAACTCCATATGAGAAAGTTAGTAGAAAGCCAAAAGTAAATGTATAAGAATCAACTCAGTAAATGGCCAAAAAAACACTAAAACTTTAAGTTAGATTAAACTACCTTCGAGTTTGCATGGTTACCTGAGGCACTAGTTTAAGTTTTGAAATGATACTAACTGCCATTATCAATATTTCTATCAGGGGTAGAATGGAAAATAAAAGATAAAAACAAAAGCCCATCATTAACTACGATGGCAAATACAATAAAAAGAAAGACTAGTTTTGCTATAAAGGAATATGGTATCTTTATTGCTTTTCCTTTGTATGAGCTTCATTTTTGTCTATTTTATTTTGTTTTTCATTTCAAATTTTCAATCAGGTGGTTTTCATGCCTTCTTTTGTTTGGAGATTACTTTTAATTAATTAAGGAACATAAGATTCGAACAACAGTGATCTAAATAGTGTTTTCCATTCCCAATGAACCAAAACCCTTTCCACCAGAAGTTTTAGGGGGCAGTGATTCCAAGTAATGCAAAGATAGTCAACTCCTAACTTTCATGTACAGAACAGTGAGTTAGTGTAAATAGATGGCTTCCATACACAAAAGACCTTTATTATGTGAATAAATTTTTTATTCAGTCATCGTCCCTTGGTCTATGCTAAAGCATCTTGTTTCCAATAGTCCAATTTATCAGAAAAAGAGGAATAAGAAAACAAATTGAGAGGCCTTACCTTTTATACCCCAATCCCTCCAAGACCATAGATGTGAAAAATGAGAACGTCATAGGCTCAAGATTATTGATGAAGAAGGCCTACAAAACATAGATTGCATCATCTCTACAGACATATGGCCATGATTTGAGAAGGAAACACAATAATGAGAGATCTCAAATCAGTACCTTGCCAGACACAAGAGTCGTCTTGGAAGTTAGAGCTTCTTCAGCACAGATATGGGCATGGGCAAGATTCTCCACATAGGTGAAGTCTAATCTATTATCACCACTCCCTATAATAAACTGAAATGAGAATTTCTATTACTTATTCTAAAATATTATGAACAAAGTTCTTAGAAGTGAAAGGTATCAAAAGATTCATGATATTGACTATTGAGAGCTTGTATGGTGATCCTAAAGAACCAATACATCAGACAAATCCAGCACTATTTTTCCCATTTGCAATATCCGAGGCACATCATGTATAGGGCATAATCAGCTAGATAACCAAGTCTAGAGATATGAGGAAACAGTTCCTTAGAGACATAAAGCATGGACTGGACTTCGAATATTTTGATATGCGTTGATATTTTAGCCAATGAAAATATTTTACCAAAGCCTTCATAAATGAGTAAAGTAGATGAGTGGCTTTCAAACCTTAGCCCACCAAGACTTTGCCATCTTCACAACCATTGGCAGAAGCTGTTTATCCCCTGGTCCAAAAACATAGCTAGGACGAAGTGCACATGTAAGAAGGCCATCAATATTGTTAGCAGCTAAGATAAGAGCTTCAGCTTGAGCCTTAAGATCAATGAACATGTTCTCAAACTGCAACATTTAATCATTAAAAGAGCAAAGTAAGAATATAGAGGTGAAATAGGTGACGACTAATTTTAACAAATGCAAGTTAAAAGTTAAAAATGCAATGGAAGATAGAGAGTCAGAGACATACTTTACCAGCATAAGGCAAGGACTCTTCTCCATTTTCAATATCAAGCCCCTTTTCAAAAACAACATCAGCACGGCTGTTGTATATTAGTCGCTTGACTTTACACTCCTGACAGACACTAATGACATTTTTTGCACCTGAAGGACAAACCATTCTATTCTAAATGAGAGCCATTTTCAGCATTCAATTACCTTCATGAATAAGTGTTTAGGTGATCTCATTAAACAAAGAGGAATTACCTTGAACAATGATTGCATAGCAAAACAACAAATCGGGAGGGTGTGAATCCATAGTATCCGTATAGAATACAACTGACACACCTTCAATAGCTGCATACGAGGAAGGAATACCATGCATGTAGTCAGTGAGAGCATAGTTTCCTATTTCAGTGTAAACTAAGTTGCAGGAAAATGTAGAAAACTAGAAATCTTGTGTATATTAAAAAAAATGATTAGAATCATTTACAACCTTCCCAACCTGACACACTAAATCACTTCTCTAACTCATTTTCCTTCCCTCTACAATCTAAAAATAACAGAAACCAACTTCTTCAAATTTTCAGCCGAACAGCTAATGAAACAATCACACAAATACATTCAGCGATGCGGCATGAGCTAGAATACGAAAATACTCACAATTAAACAATGAAAATTTTCAATAAATTTAACCAAATCAATACATTGTTCCCTTATATATTAAAAAATAAATTAAAAAAAAAAATAGTAAACTAAGGCGGGGATCAAATGCCATAAACACAATCGACACATCAGTAGAATGTGCACTACTATGCATTATGCTTCTCGGATATACCTTTGGTGATCTGAAACTTATCGCGAACATCGACGCGGTAATAGGAGGCAAGGCCGGAGGATAGGGCTTGGGACAGTAGCGAGTCGGATTCATAGTCGGAGGCGTCGAGTTCGGGGGATATAGCGGAATCGGCAACTCGGACGATCCAGTTACCGAGTCTCAACAGCCTTCCGACCAGCGATCGGCCAACGAAGCTTCGTCCTCCCAAAACAACACACGTCTTCAACCCATCTTGATCCGTCGCCATTCTTTTCCCTCCTCTCTGCGGTTTATTTTCTCGGATACGAAGAAATAAACAAGATGAGAGAGAGGGTTTAGCGTAGAAAGAGTGCAAACTTTTAGAGAGAAAATGAAGAAGGTGGGTTTGGTGTAAAAATAAAAAGAACACAAAAAGGGCCTTGGCTTGACGGTGAAGATGACTGGGTGAGGCAGAAGAAATGGGAGTCAGTGGGTTTTGGCGGGTACACTTCACGGTATTACGTCAGCTGTAATGGCCATGTAATCAACCGGCGGATTCATCGAGACTCCTCGTCAATCCTCATACTATTAAATTGAATAATTAAAATAATAAAATCTTTAGATCTAGAACCAAACTGATACCGTTATCAAAAATATTTAAAAACAATACTTATTGAGAATGATGTTTATATTAAATATATGTAATATTTTTTAGTGTAAGATTAACAAGTACTACATTTTGTTTATAAGACCGGTTGATATTAAAAAAATACAAAAAGAAAATAACTTCAAAATACTAAATTTGATATTACTATTATATTCGAGAAATTAAAATTTTAAAATCTCTTTTTATGTTGCAAACCTGCAATATGCATTGTTAAGAATTAAAAAAATGAAAACCCTTATATATAATCCAAAAAAGTGGACGTAATACCAATCTAATTGTTCACTTAGTATCTATAAAGTTTTAAATTTAATCCTTAATGAGAACAATATATTAAGTTATTAACCTTCTTAGTTAGGTAATAAATATGAACTTTTCTATATTAAAAAAAATATATTTAAAACATTAAGAGTAATAAATTGTCCAAAAAAGGTGAATAATCAAGTCTGTTGATTTTTAAAGATTTTTTACTAAACTGTGTCAGTTTGTAGATGAAGAAGCAAGAATATGACACTTTTAAAAATTTTACAAAATAGGAAAAAACTCATTTGCACCTTAAGTTTTTTCCTATTTTGTACAACTTTGAAAATTGTTATATTATTGTCAAATCTTTCTCCCAATTTTTTTATATTGCCTGACTGCTGACTATATACCAATCACCACCATACAGTAATTTCAATTATCATCACTAACTGGTCACCATACAGTACTTCCAAAATTGGCTTTGGACAAGTTGAGGGACCATTTAAGAAATTAACTCCAATAAATATTAAAGACATGAAATTTAATACTCCTTGACAAGTGCACTTGTTAGCAATGAAGTTCTGCTCAAGTCTTAACCATGTCCATGAAAGAAAACCCAGTATAAAAAAGCATGGCACAGAAGAAGCTCTTAAATTTCATAATTTTGGCCTTCACATCTTCATGTAATTAAATAAATTGTACTCGGGTACTAGAGAATGAACAAGGAAAGTGGCCCATTGGGGCAGGGGTAGCACTACAAGAATACAAGAGGACAAATTTAGTTGATGCATGCTGCAATGATTTTGATTATTGGTGCAACTTTGGTAGATATTTGACAGATCAGTGATACTCGGACAGTTTAGCTGTAAAGTGTAACCTAGCAAGAATATTAGTCCTTCTGCACTGGGTCACTGGGGTCACCAATAACACACTTCAGATTATAAATCTTGAACCTGGTGCTTTACCATCTCCCTTAGAATTTCCATCTGTAGGCACATAGAGAGAATGGTTTCAGTTAGATGGAAATATAAAATCTTAAAACACCGAGAAACTCTATGTTCTTTTATTTACGGAGAAAATCCGCAGCCACTACCCGAAGGTGCACTTTGGGTGAAGCCCGCATTCTGACCCTAACCGACAAAGGAACACAAGGAGGTAAACCAACCTAAGTTACCCATAATTGATTGGCTCAAACCAAGAAGGCCAATAGATAGCTCACACAGAGAGTCAAACTTGGAACAAACGACAAACCTCATATTTGAATGATGGAAAAAGGGAAAAATCATGTTTAGCGCAGCATCTTGTCAAAAACAAATGCCTAAAACTTTCAGTTTCCTCATATTGAAAGCTAGTTTTTCCCTAATGTGTGGTTACTAACCAGAGAAATTCTTAATTTTTTGAAGGAATGGAAAACTAGAGAAAGGAGAACAAAAAATGCTTGTACATTTGTCCAATTTGAAAGCAGAGAATGAAAAATGGGAGAATTGAAGTAAATGAAACCATTCCAATAACAGTCGAAAGCTAAAATTTGTTTGGCAAATCATTTTTTCCTGAGATCTCCCAGGCAAAGCTTTTACAGTTTTTATGGTATGAACAATTCCTTGTTGAAATTTGGTTGCCAATTGATCCAGACGAGTTGGTCCAATAATAATACATGGAAAAGGTTTTCTCCAATGCCCTAAATCACTACAACAAACAACTTGAATAATGAGCTGTGATCTCATTCAACTTTCATCTCTCTATGGCCAGCATAACAATATTAAAAACTAATTTGATTGAAACGGAAGAACAAGAGAGCATGCTCTAATAATCGATTGCAAGCACTGCACTGAGAAGTTTAGAATCAATATACTCTATGTAAGACAAGCTTTATATGAAACGTACTTTATCATGTTACGTTAGTAACTACAGTCATATAATGTCTCAGATTTGAGAAACTACTATGCATAAGTGCATAACATAACATAAGTAACTACAGTCAAACACATTGGATTCAATTTTTCTTTGAAATAAAACCAGTAATACAGTCCACTATGGAGTAAATGTAGATTTACTCTTGAGGGATTGAAAGTTCAAACAAGGTTTTGTGAATTGTATCATTAAGGAATCATCACGGTTTACATTGTATACAGGGAATGATTTGTGCAAGCCTCAAAAGAATTCCAGAATACATTTTGTATGATCAAATGCATACGATATAACAGTTTAGCCGCGAGATCAAATTTAGAATAGAGCAAAAGAGAAATTACCGGCAGGGGCGGCGGTGTCTTGATCACCGTATATGGCTTTGAGCTTGGAGAGGGGGACGAGGGCGCGAGAGGAGAGAGCCTCGGCCTCAGCGTAGAGCTGCTGCTTCCAGTCCCACATGGTCTTCCTCATTTCCTTGTTGGATTTAAGCAGAGCGTTCTTCTCCGCCTCCAACGCCTCGATATCCCATTGATGCTTCAACGACCTAGCACTCAGCGCCCCGAATACGCTCAGCAGAAACAAGTTCACCACCGTGTTGCTGCTCGCCGCCCTGTTCACGGCGGTTATTGCCCTCTCCATTTCGGTTTTCCTCTTTCCTTTCACCACCGGGAATCACTAATCAGATGTGGGTTTTGATAGTCCCGCAAGGGTTTTGCTCGTGTCACCTACTTTTCTGAGCATGAGATTACAATTTGTTTATTACTGTAATAAAAGTTTTTAAAGAAACTAAAAAGTTATAAAAGCACCTAACTACAAACATTCTATTTTACTCCGTAATTTTGAATCAACATTTTATTTTTTTGCCAGTTCATAGATTTATAAATAAATATTAGATGTTTTCATATATGACTAGCTCAGTTAGTTCGACTCTAGAATACTCACGAAGCATTTGATTGGAAGGAAGAAATTAAGACGAAAAAGAATTGTAATTCAATGAAATAAAATAAAGTGTGAATAAAGTAAAAATTTAAATTACAGTAAAGAAAAATATAATTATTGGAAATTAGAAGGGGAAAAGTGATATAGACACTAAAATAACATTTGTAATAATAATAATCGTCATCATTAAGAGCAAAAAGATTATTTCCTTTTTTTTTTCCCTCTCCCCACTACTCCGAATTACAATTCTTTTGGAGGGTCCAAAATTCTAATTCCACAAATGGGGGAATTACAATTTCCTCCAACTAAATATTGTAATTCAAGTGACCAAAAAATTGTGTTGTAATTAAATTGCAATTAAATTGAACCAAACAGTCCATTAATGTATAAAAGACAATAAATCTCGTAAAATAAAGTCTGGGAAACGGAAAACAAAAAACATGAGACATAATTTTAGAGTACAGGAAGATGATGCGATGCGCACTTCGTGCCTTTTATTTTCACAGCTGGCTGCCTCATTGTCAGTACAAATTACAAAATCATTGTTTGCAGGGGCCTGTGAGTCAGTCTCTGAGATTACAGATCAGTTGTTCTGTGCTGGCACCAATATGCCATCTTGATGTTACAACAACAATTACGTGGCCCTTCTCAAAACAAGAGAGCAGAGCAGATATATCCTCACGAAGAATATCATAACTTAATCTGGAACATTTTGTCCTTGTGAATTAGTGTAATTGAAGAAGCACTCAAAGCTCATCCTGCAAGTGCCAAATGCTTAAATCATCATGAACAGTGTACAAGTTGAGGCAAAAGGGTAACGTGAATATTATCATATTATGCATGTAAGGTCTCTTTGTTTTGGGTGGAGAGGTAATTACTAATTAGGTAAATGGAAAGATAGAAAATACAACCAAGATTCATCAGTCGCAAGAAATCATTTCTTTTTCTCAATTAATGTGCTCAAAAATTTCCTCAGAACTCAGGTTACAATGTTTTGCTTCACGCAAAGGAGTAGAGTCTACTTACATGGTAGTCATCCATATAGTCACGTGGATCATGCTGCAGGACAAGAGTCAAGTATCAGAAATCTTACTCAATTCAGTTTTAGGGGGAAAAGCATCATATTTCATATATGTAATAATGGCACAGAACACCCGACACACAGAATAGCAAGGAACCTAATATACTGCCATACTGCTCTAAAATCACAGCGACAATTAAGCACAATCCTTAGGTTGTGATTGCCAATTAACATGTTCTTTCTAATACCCAAAAGTAATTGCAGGTTGGGTGGGGAAGAAAATCAAGGATTCATCTCACAAGTTGGAGAATTTAAAATTTGCAATGAGAATAAATGCATGCTTGAACTAAGAGAAAATATTAATCCTGCACCACTACGGCTTAGCTCCACAATGAATGTAGGCAGTATCACCGTCATGCACCATTGTACTCTACAAACCTTCTTACTATAAATTGTATCAATAGTCTGTAAGATGTTTTGAGTATAATGGCATTCATGCCACTATTTATAGGCGCATTTGTTCAATCTTGTTAAAATATTGAAGTCATGAAACCACACCTAATAGACAGAACTAGTTAAAACCCCTAAACAAAGCATAACCATACCTTAGACCAGAACAGGTTCAGAAAAGGTAGGACATAAAAAGCAGACCAATTTCTTGGCTCCTTTTCAAATATGATACAACTTGAAGATACCATTTGAACTACACTACTTAAGTAAAAATGCAAGCAAATCATAAAGTTGCTATAATGCTCATGTATGCACACTGCAACACTCAATCCATATCAACAATATTATAAACAAACCACATGATGAAACCTACATTACATTTAGGGAACCAGTTAATCCTATATTATTAGAAAAAAAATAAGGAATGCAAAGAGTAAGGGAAGAAAAATCAGACAACCAAGACAAGTGGCAGTTCTGAAATGAAAATAACACAATTTTATCAGAAAACGTTATAGACAATTAATTATGGAGAGATAAAGAGTAAAGACAGATAAAATAAGAAAGATACCCTTCTTCGGCGCTTGTAGCCCCTCTCTCTTCTCCTCTTCTCACCCTCTTCTCTTGCTCGCCTTGCTTCCTGCATACTTTATTATTCAGATAAACTCGAGAAAATAGTGCTCAGAAATTTGTAGTTCAAGGATTAAAAGGAAAAATCATGAAGATATTCAGATGGTTGACTACCTCTTCTTCTCGAGCTTTTCTCTCTTTCTCTGCCTCCTCAAATGCCTCCTTTTCAGCCTGATGTATCAGCATTTAAAAAAAATAAATCAGGTGCCTCTATTTGATCTAGAAAGAATATCCCAATAGCAATTCCTTACCTCCCTGTTTTTGGCCCATATTTCATTCACAACTTCTTTTGCATACTGTGGGTCATCACATATCAAAATATTGTCAAACACCGAACCAGCTTTTACCTATAATTGGAACATAATTTAAAGTTTCGGTTATTGCAGAACAGGCAATGTTGCAGTTGCCAAGAAAAAAGAAAAAGATTGGCATCAAATATTCACAAAGAGAAACAGGATGGTCATGATTATGAAGCAAGAATTTAAAATCGAGAACTGATAATAGAAAATTTGTCACATAAAGCTCTTGTGGAATACAGTCGCATATGTCACCTGCCAAACTTCAATGCCAACATATTTTATAGGCTTTAACACATAGAGATCAGGATCATCTTCAAACTCTGCACAGAAGAATACACATTTAGAATTTTTCCATCAAGTAATAAGAATTGCTCAGGGTGTTTGTTCTTGGGAGGTCATTTAAAGGTATTTAATGTTTTCTTCAAGTTATGTTGAACTAATAGGTCATTTTTCCATTCATGTTAATTTATTAGCCCCCCATAGCAGTACAAATATATTAAATGAACAAGGAAAAGATAGGTGAAATGGCATTAGGCTCCAATTCTGAAACAAGGGAATGGAAGTATGGAACTATTAAAATAAGAATGAGAAGTCAGTGAGAGAGAATTACTAATTTAAGCCTTTAAATAGCACAGGATATTATTATCAATTATAATAGGCATTTATTATGAACTAACCATCATTGTTTTTAAAGTTTATTTATTTATTTAACTCAAGCATCCCCTATTGAATAGGACAGAGCAAGGGATTACACCTCAGAAGTCTCAGGTGAATCCATTACTGCTTCTAAGCAGCTTTTATCAAAAGTCATGCACCCAAAGAAAGACCCATGGAGTCCGTGGACAGTGACAGTAATCCCACCTGGGTTATCAATCCATGGAGTCCTCCATTTCCCCTTGTAGTTTGGGTTCTTGATTTTCTGTAACATCAACCAGATTTGGAGGTTAGCAACATGTTTGAAAACAAGTAATCCATTCAATTGAAATTTAAATTCTGGTGTGGAAGCAGGATATCAGGCAATTAAGGTGGGAGGTAGGGAGAGAGCACCTTGCGCTTCCAAGGCCCTTTATATGCTGGATTCGGCACCTTGCCTGGTTTCCATTCTCCATCCTCTTCATCATCCCAATCAGCAGGCTATTGGATAAAACAAAAAATCCATGCCATAGTTAAGGACTGTTCTTCCAATCTTATTCTGGTTAACAAATCATCCAACTTATAGAAAGATTCTGAGAATCAATGGCAGGAGTCACTCATTTCAGTATTAAAGCAAAGTGAAACACAGCCACTATTCCTCCCATTTCCAGAAGATTATTGTTAAGGGCATAGCAAACTATTAGCAAATATAGACAAGTAGACAAGTATTTTAAAAGTTCATTAAAGCTAGGGATTCTCAATTAATATATTTGTTTAGGGAGAGAACCCCACTGGGAAGAAAATTTCCATCCATGAACATTATTATGAATACATATCATTAATACTCAAAATGAAGAGGAAGGAAGAAACACTGCAGACCTTTTTAGCCTTGGGATCAGGTATCTCTGGTGGAATTTTATCATATCCCTATAGCATAAGAAAGGTTATTAAAGAATGATGATCATTCTAAAATATACGTCACCATTATGCTAACAAAGCGATGAGCTGGGATCTTATACCTCAGGTTTTTCATCATTTGGATCATCAATATACTCTCTGTCATCCCAATCTGCAGGCTGGGAAAAGAAAGAAGAAATGCTCCATATTTATTGTTTTTAGATGAAGATCAATAATGCAGATCATTTATAGATGTTAATGCCCATTATTGCAACAAAATAATTCACTAAGACTGATATATTACAATACTATGGTTCTTAAGCTGTTATGATGTATCTATCTGCCAATCTTTATGCAGGATTACAAGATATATAGAAGTGGGCAAGTGGCTAGTGAAAATGTGATGAACTGAGATAGTGAATCAAAGACAAAATGATAAACCTTTTTTGCATGGATATCTTTGATCTTACGAGGAGGAAGGATATCCCAATCTGTGTACAGGCTTCCAGACTCTCTCTCACGGTTATCAATAAGGATGCTATATGTTGCATCAGGCCTTATAATGAGTGTGTAAAAATGAGTTAACTTGTCTGTCTCACATGTTAAATCTTTTCTAATGGGATAATTCTGTCCCTGGTAGGATACTATAACATGGAGCTTTTTTGTCTGTGTGCCACAGATATCTGGTCCAAACATCAAACTGCACATAGACAATTACTGCAATAAGATGAACTTGCACAAGATGAATGATCATGGAAGACATTTATTTGTATCTAATTAGTGCTTACATAATATAACAACAACCAAAGAGAGAGAGAGAGAGAGACAGAGAACCTGTATGGTGTGTCACCTCCAAATTTCTTTTGATTAACATAACCAGATAGAAGCTTAATATATCCACCACCACATTCAATGTCTTGCTCAAGCCTAATCGAATACTGGACCACTAGAGTTCTATTCTTATTGCTGAACTCCGGTATCTTTGCAGAAATTGCAAAATGCTTGGCATCACTCTGTGTTTGAATACCTACAACAACTCAACAGATAACCGCTACAGTATCCAGCAACACAGTTTAAATCAAATTCAATACATAATCAAACCAGAGCTTGTTAACAAGTTGCAATCACACGCACAAACTGATCGAATACAAAGTAATTAAGTAAACACCTCTTTAATTCCAACTGATAACCTGATACTGAGCAAGCTTGATCTAATAAGCAACTTCACCGAAAAATGTTAGAAACCGTAGAAGACTGTATACCTTTGTCGTCAGGGTCACCGGGCCACTTGCCGGCTGTGTGCTTGAAAGTCCCAGCTTTGCCTTCACTCCTCTTCCAATCCGACATCACCCATCTCCCTCTCCATCCATCTTCCATTTCCCAAAATAATAAAACCAGCCAGAATATCAGCTACAAAGTTCAAATTCAAAAGAATAAAATAAACATAAATGATAATCACCATCAAAGCGTTCTTCGAAGAAGATTTCGGAAACAGCTGAGTGAATGATGAGGAACAGAAACAAAAGCTTAAAATGATAATGGCAATAAGTTTCCATTTAAGAAACAGAAGAAGAATCTCCTCGCGCTAAAGTAGAAAGCTGCATTCAATTGACTTATACTACGCCCGCTATCCTCCGATGAATTTTTTATTTTTAAATATTTGCGTTTCTTTTTCTGGTGGAATGATGCTTCATGTGCAATAGGACTTTCTAGAAATGTCAAGGGAATATATTCAAATTCTTAGCGGGTAAATAAGTGGATTATCGTAGTAGTTACGCAAAAATTAATCTGAAAGTGTGTTGACACTTCTGTTACTATTTGAGTGAATTGAATTCTGGAATAAAAATATAATTCTTTAGGCTGAAAATATTTGAAAAAGTATAGAACAAATACTGTATTATAAGAAATTATAAGTGTTTCAATAAAAAAAATGTGGATATTAATATTAATTATCCAAAATAATAATCTTCTTAAGTTAAATAAATAATATACTGTGTCTATAATATTTTTTTTTAAAAAAAAAAAACAAAACAAACAAATTATATAAAAAAAAATTAAAATTTTAGCAAAAAAGTGCAATCCAAATTAAATGCTACTCTTGTTTAGACAATTATCACCGGGCTAACATAGTAACATGTAGCATAATATGAAGTGAACATTTTTTAAGAAAATTGTAATTCGTAATTGTTTTTTACACCGGACAACAATGATTGTTTGATAATGTAGCATTATAATTATCAAGTCAATTATGATCAATTTGACTACCAAGACTATGTGGTTTAATGGTACTCGGGTTGGACTTCTATTTAGAAGGTTGTAAGTTTGAGCTCAGTGAAGGTGTTATTGGTTCTTTATGTTTCAGTAAGTTATATGAACATGTACTACACTGTAATAGAGCCATTCAATGATTTAAAATCAACATAAGTATTTTTTTATTTTTACAAACTATTTCAAATTTTTTTTATCTATTTTAAAAAAATTTCAAGTATGATTAATCTAGTAATAAAATTTATATTTTTTATATTACACTTTAGCCCTGAATGTCATATCAAATTGAAAAAATGTGTTGCCTTGGCTACAATTTAAAAACAATTGTATATGATAAAGAATGTACCTCGGTCCTCGGTATGCCAATTCGTATGCACTAAGAACCTGATCGAGTATGAACTTAAGCACTCAGGTCGAGACCTAACTCAATAGAGTAAGAGCAAGAGCTTATCAAGCTGAAAGCTGATAAGGGGAACAATCAAGTCTGGTCAGTCAGTATTTTCTCGAGGTCTGATAAGGTTGAGAGATGGTCCCCACCACCAAGTGAGTGGTCAAATCTAATCACGTCCTTAGTGCATACAGATCGACATATCGGAAATTTGGGATATATTCCCTATCAGTGTATATACAGAATTGAATAATATGTTTTATCTCAACTAAAATTTAAATTGTTAATAAAATCACACATTTATTATTTATATATATTATCTTCAACACTCTGGGGCATTTCATAAGGGCACAACAAGAAATCATGGCTACACAAGAATGGCATACAAAAATGGTGTAAATTAAGCAATTAAGATATCTCACTGCAGCAACATATCCAGAATCACAACACAAGGAGAGGCCATTTTACCTCTTCTTCTACACAGTTTTTTCTTGTGTTTAGTTCAAGAATCAAATATAGTTTTTTGTAAAGGAAACAAAAACAGATCTAGCACTTCCCAGCAACTCTGGGCTCCATTCACATGATTAACAACAATGGCTACTCTCACATTCCCACAAACCTGCATTCAAGTTTATATATACATTTCCTGAACCTGTCTGTATGTTCCCCTCTGACCACCTAGCCACTTAAGGGCATCGCTATTCATGCACACTTTATACGGGCAAGCAAACTCGAGTATTTACACCATCATTAATCTTATCGTATAGTTTGAAGTATTGGATCAAACAAGTAATCGGAAATAGCGTGTTCACTTTAATAAAGTGGTCGAAAAAATTCATCATAGGTGGAAAAGTTGTTGTGCATCGTTTTTGATCACCAGTACGTGGTTGGAAAACGGGAGGCGTAGAAGATACAATTTGCGTGGTCGGAAATTCCAACCAATGCAAAATTGAAATACCAAGGGACATGCATGGAATTCTGATTCCATGAAAATGAGAGAATTCCAATTACGCGGAATTGCAATTGTCTCCCACCAAACGAAGGAATTTGCTTGTCTTTGGAATTATGTAGAAATTTGATGGGAGTGAAATTATAATTCTCTCCAACCAAACAAGTTGTAATCAGGCGTTTGGTTGGAGTGTGTGAATTAAGAGGGAAATGAATTGCAATTCCATGAGAGATCATTTGGTTTGCAGGTATAAAATTACTGAAAATTTAAATTCCAGTGTTTGTTATACATGAAAATTGAAAGAAATAAGTAGTATAAAATTTAAAATGCTCATTATTATTATTATTATTATTATTATTATTATTATTATTAATTATTAATGGCCATACACGTTGCTGCATAGAAAGAATGAAAATTTTGCTATTGAAAATTTAGGCAAATATGCTATACCTATACATGATACAAATTTTGCTATTGAAAACACACATACCAATATACCATATTCAAATTTTGCTGATAATTTATGTAAAATGATGTAAATAAATCGTAGAATATTACAAATTTACACTTTCCGACTGTTAACTTTTATTTTTAATTTTAAGAAAAAATTTGTGTGAATATGAAAATAAAATACTCACATTGAAAAATGTAATACTAATTAGGGAATATATTACTTATAAGGAAAAATGTATTACTTTTACATTTTAATTTAAAAGTATCACATTTTTCCTTATAAGTAACAAACATTTTATTCTTGATTAATATTATATGGCAAATTATGTCGTGCAACCGTGTGCACCACATGGTGCACACGGGTCTAGATTCATAATTTTTATACTGTAGATTCATAATTTTATAAATATATGTTCATAATTATAGAGCTATATGTTCATATTCCCAATTGTTGAACTCTGTATTCACAAATCACATAACTATATGTTCATAATTTGATAACTATACAGTTTAGAAATTATGAATCTACAATACATATATTATGAATCTGCAGTATAGAAATTATGAATCTACTGTATTTAAATTATGAATCTACGGTTTAAAAATTATGAATCTATAGTATAGAGTTTATAAATTTATAGTATAGAGTTTATGAATCTACATTATATAAATTATGAACCTAGATCCGTGTGCACCATGCATGGTGCACACAGTTGCACAAATAACAATCTTTTTCAATATAAATATTACATTTTCAGATTAAGTCGTCACACATAAAAGCCACTAATAATTTTAAAAATTTCAAATTTTAGTTATAAATTTATATTAACGGTTAATCGATCAATTAACCAAAAAAAATCAATTTAATTAATTTAGTAATTTAATAGAAATTCAGTTTGGTTAACCATTAAACGTTTAAATTTTTCAGTTTTTTTTTTTTTTTTTTGAAAGCTACTGGCTCTATTACATTGTAGTATCTGTTCATATACTTTCTCAACTTACTGAAACACAAAGAACCAATAACGCCTCCACTGAGGCTTGAACTCATAATCTTTTAAATTTTTCAGTTAATTGACCGATGAACCAAATACATACCCCTACTTGTTGTAGTAAAATTATATTATTAAACAAATTGATAATGTAGGTAGGATAATTGCTTTTCTTTTTTTTTTTTTTTTTTTTTTTTTTTGAAAGGAGGTAGGCTAATTGTTGTAACTTCACATCTTGGGATTTCTTGATTAGTTGATGTAGGACATGCATTTATTATGTGTTATCGATGAGAATAGTATGTTCTGTATATTGAATCAATGTAAACGTACAGAGAGAATATAAGACTACACAAGAGTAGTCCTAACACAACTCAACTACTAAATAATATAGACTCCTAATACTCCCCCTCAAGCACATGGTTGGCGGGAGACGACATTGAGCTTGTCACGCAAGAAGGAGAACCGGGGACCGGGAAGAGCCTTAGTGAAAACATCCGCAAGCTGGTCCTTGGTAGAAATGAAACTGACCAGCAACTCCTTCTTGGCTACCTTGTCACGAACAAAATGGTAGTCAATCTCGACATGCTTCGTACGGGCATAGAAGACCGGATTGGCACACAAGTAAGTAGCACCCAAGTTGTCACACCAGAGAGTCGGTGGAGAACCCGAGGACACCCCAAGCTCACGCAGCAAAGAAACCAACCAAGTAACCTCCGCCGACACATCAGCCAGAGCCTTGTACTCAGCCTCAGTAGATGAACGCGCCACAGTGCGTTGCTTCCGACAGGCCCAAGAAACCAAATTGCCACCCAGAAAGACAGCAAAACCACATGTGGACTTCCGATCGTCCGGATCACCAGCCCAATCTGAGTCCGAGAAAGCATGCACAGTAGTAGACAAAGACTTACGAAGGTACAAACCGTAGTGCAGAGTACCCTTAACGTAGCGTAAGACACGCTTAAGCCAACTCCAATGCTCAGTAGTCGGAGAATGCATATGCTGGCAGAGCCTGTTAACCACAAACGACAAGTCCGGACGAGTAACTGTAAGATACTGCAATGCCCCGGCAAGACTGCGATAATGCGTGGGATCAGCATAAGGAACAGCCGAACCCTCAGAGGAACGAGCCAGAGAAGTCGGCGTGGCTAGAGGCTTGCAGTCGACCATGCCAGCACGCTTTAGAATATCCTGCATATACCGCTGTTGAGACAACAAAAGGCCATCACGCCACGGCATAGTTTCAATACCCAGGAAAAAGGACGGAGCACCCATATCACGGATCTTGAATTCTGAAGCCAACTGCCCAAGAAAACCAACAACACGCGAGGAATCTGAGCCCATGACCAGAATGTCATCCACATACACAAGCACATAAAGATGAACACAGTCACGAGTATAAATGAACAAGGAAATATCAGTTTTAGACGGAGTGAAACCAACAGAAACCAAGAAAGAGTGCAGGCGATTAAACCACGCCTGAGGAGCCTGCTTAAGACCATATAAGGACCGCTGTAACAAACACACATGCCCAGGAGCAGCTTTGTCCTCATAACCCGGAGGTTGCTTCATGTAAACTGTCTCAGCGAGCGTTCCATTCAAGAAAGCGTTGT